GAGCACAAGTGAAAGATGGAAATTAAGTGCATGGAAGTGACCACTCTGAACTTGGAAACCACTACAGTAAATTACAATGTAAAATAAAGCAAGCGCCCAAACCTTTAAAAGGTTAGGAAATCTAAAAACAACCCATTCATCCAAACCAGAATTATTGACAGTAGTTTTCACCTATGCAAGGCTCTCCTGCAGTAATTTAGGTAATATTCTACTACAAGACCTTGATAGTAAGGGTGTTGTAACTTGTCCTACATACAAAGAGTATGTAGCCAAGGGGTACCCCAGGCAAATTATCTTAGTTGTTTTATAAATTACTATTTCAGGCATTTTCCTACTTCACCTGAAATAAGCTCTGTGTTTTCTTGGCTACTTTAATGCATTTTTATGTGTTTGAAGTAGATTTAGAAATTCAAAGCTTAGTATGCAAGAGTTAGTAGCATTCATAATGCAAGTTGATTCTGATCTGTAAATGATTCACTGGATTGAATTGCTCTTGATTTATTGAATCTCTTTGGTTTAAGGTGAAACAATGAATGTGTAGCACTTTCTGAAATCTGGTCTGAAAGTTGAATGCATTAAAAAGTCTCTGGAATGTATGAAAAGCCAGGTACTAGCAAATGGGGGAAGAAAGAACATTACAGAGTGAATATGCTTTGTAGTTTGTAATAAACTGTAAATATACTCAGGACTCTGGCAAGACACATGCTGTGGAATAGTTCACTCCTTGAGACATTCCTGAGAGGATCAAGGCTATGTGACTAGAAAATAAGAGCAATGGATAATGGAGCATAATATTTTTTTTTTTTTGCAGCATATCTTTGATGAGTGCACATAGTTGGTAGAGTTCTGTAAGATACTTGTAACTGTCAGGGCTTGTTTTGTATGCTGAAGTGAGTTTAAAACTAATTTTTGACACCTATGAACAAAGGATTGGCCCCAGGATTAGACAGTGGAATTTGAAGAGAATTAGCCAGATGGTTTAACTACACCATAAAAAAGGGAGGAGATCTGTGTGACTGCCATTACTTTGGCTGTGAAAGTGACAAAGCCCAGCTGCTCATGAGAAGTCCTGCCTCTCTGCCCACTTTTAGGAAGCATTTCAAGTGCCAGTTATTTAATGAAGGTAGCTATCTTTGCAGTTTCATGTGTTCTCCTCAATCTTCTCATTTATGTAGCACTCTGCAGCCATAGTTCAAAGTGAAATCCCTGTGCCTGATGAGTTCAATGGTGCCTCCATTTTTAGATTAGACTACTCCAGGAAGAAGATGTAGTTTCTTTCATAGTTGTTCTCTGCTGCTTGTCCTGCATTTATTGCCCTCTTGGGCTGCCCACCTCTTGCCCACAGGCAAGGAAGGTTCCCTCATAGCAAAAGGCTCCAGAGGAATTGTAGTCATGAAGGAGATGTTGATAGCCGTATTCTGTAGCAAAACCAGGTGGCAAACCTTCCAATATAGCTTTTAAGGCTCAGCAATTAAAGAGCTAATATCCTAAAAATAAAACAGATAAGAAGTTGACTGCTCTAGCTCCTTGAATAGTTTGAAAACAGCTGCAATGATCTAGACTGGTGGGATTTATGAGACACTATTCCTGTAATTCAATATTCATGTGACTGCTATGGCCAAGATTCTTTCTACTTTGTTGGTATCCCCATGAATTCAGATATGGGTGAGTAGAATTGACTGACTGACAAACTTACCCAGTCTTCATGGAATAGGATTCAGCATTGTGCTGCACAGGGAAGCTTTATTTGTAGCTAAAAGAAATCATAATGGTGTATTTTGGAAAAGCAAGAATGTCTTTATAGACTCTGTTTCTGATCTAATGTTTCACTAACTTGCAGTTCATAGAAAAACAGAAATGGCCTTTGATAACTCTGTGTGTTCTTGAGTGGTCCACTGAGAAAAGTGAGAACATAAACATATTGGATTGTCTTTTACAGTTTCATCTTTTCTTTTGACCATTATAATGGGAATGAGGTTCAAGAGGTCCAAGAAATTAATGCCAGGACTAGTAGCATGCCTGAGGTAAATACATATTGCAGATCTTATTGTAAAGATTTCACAGGTTATCAAATAGTTGCCCTTTCACACCCTATTCAAGACACTGTTGGTGGAAGTCACTGTCATTCAGCAACTACACAATTTAAATGAAATTAGTTTGGAGGTCACAGTCCTGTTTCCAGTGAGCAGCTTTTTCATCTTACTAGGCAGATACAGTTGGTGAGAAGTGACTTTCTCAGCACAGAAAGGAGAGGGCAGCAATTAAATATTAATACATATTGATAAGGCTTTTGGAACAACCTAGATAAGCCTTAGTGTTTTCAAACACATACATATAAAATTAGTCTAATTTCATACAACACTGTCATCTTAAAAAAAATAGGCTAACACTTTGGTTTAGAAGTGCTGCATTCAAAACTACTGGAAGCACAGTACTGTTAAAAACCAGGACATTTTAGACCTGATCTAAGAACTTTGGCCAGTATTAATGCAAATTTTTAAAAAATTCTGGCTGTTCCAGCTGCTTTATTGCTACTGTTCAGCATTCTGGAAAATATGATTTTCTGAATCTCTTAATTTGGAATTAAATTATGGAGTAAGTTCAAAACTTTTTTCCCAAATAGTCTGTAATGCAAAACATTTTCCAGGTGTAAATCAGAATCCCCATCTCCTGAAGGAATAATAACTGTAGCTTTTTCATTTTAATATTACAGATTTAATATAACACCATTCTGTTTTACTTCAGTTACATACAGGGAAGAAAAAATCAGAAGCAATTTAAAAATTTAAGAATCGGGACTTACACTGGAAAATGTTATTGTCCATTGTGGATTGCTATTCCAGCCTCAGTGGGCTTTGTTTTTCTAGACACTGTGACTGGAGATCTGGACACCTGAAAAGACAGCTTAATAGAGACTCTAGTGTCAGCTACTTAAGAATGCACTGTTATTTAATGATGACTTACACTGATTTTATTAATGACAGCCATATTTATGTTTTCTTGTTTTGGTTTTTTTTTTCAGCCTATTGATGATTTTGAGGCTTGTTTTTATGCTGCTGTAGGAGAATTTAGAACTGAATATGACTGCCATGACCACCAAACAGACATGCTCTCCGTACTTGAAAGACAAGTTTGAACACAAGTCTTACACTGCATTTATATTTTCTGTAAAAGATCTGTACCTGTTAATCGATTATTGATATGTTGTTGATATTTTAAAAGCTTTTTTAAAAACTAAAGCAAGTGTTTTGTTCTTATATTTTGATCTACTTTCATTTAAGCAGTCTATTAACTCATAGGATTTTTCTTTGTAAGTTTCTTTTAGGGGCGCAGAGCACCCCAGGAAATTGAATTACTCTTGCACTGTATCTCTGAAAGAATATCTATAAATACATGTTTATGCTAAAAAGGTATCTTGTATTGAAGTATAATTTTGTAGTTTCTGAGATTAAATAATCAGTTCTAAATCAAAAAAGTCTTGGGCCTGTACTGTGTTGCACTAAAAAAACAACTTTCTTTCCAACCCACGCTCTTGTTCCCCTGGTTCTAAATATAAAAAAAAATCAGTGCTCAAATAAAATATAACAGGTTTGAAGCTTATCAGTTTTTTAAGCAGAAGAGTGAGGCATTTTGTCAATGAAAGAGTCTGGTGCTCTGCTGTGCACTCAGTAGTGGTTTAAAACATGTTCCATGCTGTAAATTGCCAGTGACATGAACCATGGCTGAGGTTTGTCATCATGCTGCACAGAGAGGTTGCAAGCTCTCAGTACTCTGGGACAGGTTTGCCATTCCATTCTCACACAGACTATCTTGCTGAACTCCCCCCCTGGTAAGCAGAAGAGACTGTTCAGTCACAAACTATTCAGGGATTGAAGTTGCTTTGGTTTGTGTACAAAATAAATATTCCTGAAGTCTCACAGCTTGGCTAAGACTGTCTTCTGGTGTACAGGAAATATAAGGAAAATCGTTAGGAAGCAGTATGGGTGGGTGCTTTGCTGCTTTTCATTTTTTTCATACAAAGCTTGCTTATGAAAGTTATTGTGTATCAGGATACCTCCTTTGTGCTGGTTCCTAAATCATAGCACTTATCTGGAAGAGAGGAATAGCCCAGTGAAATGAGTACTGTGCTGGGCAAAGCACCGCTTCCAGCTACTGAGGTAATCTTAATGCAAACCTGTTTGGAAGTCAGCACTGGGGCAGTGTGGTTTGTACCTCTGAAATGCACATGGCTCTTCTTAGGTACAAGTCAGGGAAGGAGTTAACTTTCCTGGGCAGCAGTTCTTCATGTACACTGGCTGACTGCCTAATCAGTTGGAGTCCTGCTGAGGAGAAACAACTAAGTGCAAAGAAGGATGGTTTATGGCAATGTTCTTGAAGGGAACACTGATTGTTCCCATGAAATTAGGGTAAAGAATCTGACAGAGTAGTGCAGCTTTAAGCACTGTTGAGGGAAAACTCACTTACTGAAAAGGTAAGCAGCCAGTGCACTTGGCTTTATAACTGGGAAGTGACTGCAGAAGGTAAAACCTTATAAAAAAAACCACTCAAGGGGCATTTGCCTCACTGACCAGCCAGCCAAGCAGCAAAAAGAAGAGCAAGGGAATAAGTGCTCTCAGCAGATGAAAATCACAGCAGGCCAATTAAACACAAGGACTTTGATCTTTCAGTGAAAAAATCACTCCTAAGAGATTCATGTGGAGATTAGAAAAGTTTTTTACTTCTGCCCATAAACTTAAAAGGATCATGAATTTTAATTTTATTTTTTATTTCCTTAATTTTTAAGCTGTGAAATACAGCAGGCAGACAGTGAACTTTCTAGGAGACCTCCTGAAGAACCAACCCAGAAGATTCTAGGCCTGAATTTAAATGAATTCTCAGTTTTCAGGGTGTGACTCCTCGGTCTGGCAGTTTATTAAAATGGGTTTGGGGATCATGTGGCATTTCTACAGTACTCCAGAAGCTACAACTGAACATTTTACCCTACCAAGCATGCACTATAATTGAACACACACCAAGTGTCAGCGTATTTTATTTCATATAACTGCTTCATGAAATTCTTCTTTCTAGATGCAACAGATCCAAATTAGCCTTTTACTCTAATTTAAAAGTGTATTCAGAGTCTATTGTTTCAACACTGGCCATAAGATGCAAGTTACAGAGCACATCTATGAAATTTACAAAGCAAGCTCTGGTAATCTACTACAGTTGGGTTATTTTCATCAGATTAGATATTGAATATTTTCCTCACAACAGCAACAAACTTCTCATCTGTTGGTGGCTTCCGCTGGCTACCAGGCTGTAAGAATTTTTTGATTGTTGGAATGTTGCTGATTCTTCCTTTAAAAGCCTGTAAGAAGCAACAGTAATGCCAGTGAGATTAAGGAAATTATAATTCCATCCATTATAGTTTAAAGATCAGGTGACTTGGATTTTTACTTGTCAGACATACTTATTAAAGAGTAAAAGGTATTAGCTTTTTCTGATCTGTAATGCTGATGCTATACCTTTGTTTCCCAGATGGGAATGGGAGAAATTAATATTAAAGAGTTAAGATTCATCTAGTAAAAATTGGAAGAAAAAACTCCACATAGCAATCCTGCAGATATATTTGAGAAAAAAAAAAAGAGGCAAAGACAGGAATATCTCAGTGCAAAGCACTACAGAAGTCAAGATATAGGAAACTGAACTGCTCTTTGTATATGATTTCTTAAAAATATAATTTTGCTGGCAAAAAGTAAAGGACAGGAACTGCAGACACACCAGGCCACAGACTTTCCTTCTGGATATTGCTGCTGTGTTTGAAGACATGGAAGTAGCAGTTAAAGGATCAAACTGGTTGCACTAGTGAGTGAATTCCTGCCAGCTGAGAACAACTAGGAAAAGCAGAACTGGAGAAAGGCAAGTCCCCAGCAGCTCTGGGGCAAGGCAGTGCACTGAGTGCAGGTTTTTGTAGTCAAACAGACCAGAGAAGTGTCAGTACAATGGTTCAAAAGATGTAAACATCAATTATCTTCCAACAACAGTCAGTGAAATTTGTTACCTCCCATATTGACAGCAGATGATTACTAACCTGCAGCAGGGGGAATGCAGACAGTACATCAGGCTTACATTCTTCTGCCATTAAAATGGCTTCCAGCAGATGGATGTCTGCCCAGCTTAATTTGTTGCCAACAAGATAATCCTGTCCATGATCTTTTAAGGCCTATAAAGTATGAACAAATAAACAAAAAAAGTTCACATGGGATGTAACTATTTTATCTAGGTATTTCATTGCAGACAGATTTCTGAAAAAACACAGCAGAGCAAAGCCATGCAAGAACCTATGAAGTTAGAAAGTGATACATATTCTTTAAACAAAAAATCAAATCAGAATTCATGTTTCAGTGTGTGCAGTCCCATCTCTCACTCTAACCTACTGCACCAGGTAGCTGTATATCAAGTCCAGTACCACAAGAAAGACTTAATCACACAAAAGGAACAGGACTAAAGTAATTGGAAGAAGTAGTCAGGCCAGTTTACATGTAAGCACACCTCTAATTTTTAAGAAAAAAGTTAAGTGAATTTCCAGATGTTTCAGCAAAATTTGCGTCTGCTGATTACAGTTTGAAATACGTGCAGAATGAAGGAATACAACCTCCCAGCCTTTATCTCGTAAGGAAGGACTTGTTTATGGCAAACTGCTGATGCAAGAATCACAGCCTGCCAAAGCTAACAAGTGTAGCAGACAAGTTGAGATGAACATTGCAGCACAGCTTCAGAGCAGTCACCAGCTCTCCAGCCTGCCTTTCACCTGAAGACTGTCACCCTCCCATCAGGAGCAAGAGAAGGCCATGTCTGTGCCTAAGTCACACCAAGGCCACTCCAAATTAACAAATGTGCAGTAAGACATCAGTCTGTGACCCTGGAAGCCAACTGCTTCTCCAGGCCCATCTGCCAGTTCTACCATAGAGGCAGCAATCATGGGCAGAGTCACAGCTGATCCCTTCACGTAGTTACTTCCTACTCTGCTCTAACAAGGTCTAGCACAGCTTGTTTATCACACGGTGTGGAAACTCCAAACATAGCATCTGATTGCCTGCAGGGCTTTATATTGCTTTTTGCTGCTCCATCTGGCTGCTGAGTGTTTAAAGTTAACTCTCACAGCTAGGTATGCTTCCTGTCAGCTTCCAGAATTAATAACACATAGACTGCAAACCCTGATAAGCTAAGCTGAATCAATAGACATCTCCAACAGCTGGTACAGAAAGAAAATGATTAACCATTTTAACAAAATTAACTAGGCTAAAATAATGGAAAAGTTCAGCTGTGTCTCTACATTAGCAAATAGGGGTTACTTTAAAGACTCTCCTACATGGAGCATACATGCTAAAACATATCACAACAGTAGTTTATGCCACCTAAGCACAGGCTTAGAGAATTTTGGTGCATTTTTATTGTTTAGTAACTTAAAATACATATCAGACTTTGAAAGATTTGGGTGTGTAATCAATATCTCTCAGCACAGCCCTCCATTGGCATGGGAGTGGATATATATGAACTCTGATTACAGAAGTGCTGGATTATCATTTACATTTTTATTTTACAGGGCAGCCTCTGTGGGTTTTGTTTGTGCAATTTAAGGCTCTAATAAAGTGGGACATGAAATTGCATCAAGTCCTGTAGTTTTTGAGTGGACTTCAGCTGCCTGGTAACAAAGGCTTCAAGCAGGAAACCTAGTTCAGCTCTGAAACAGCGCAGCTTTGTACCCTTGGCAGATTTCTGAGGAGACCACTATGCCCTGAAAAAGCAGTGGCACCAAAGGAAAAGTTACAAACAGAAACAAACTTGTGAGATGAGGATCACAGCTGGCTCAATTCAAACAAGAAAATCTTAACACAAAAAAATTTAAAATATCCTTACATGAGAAATAAAACAACAAAACAAACAGCAAGTTGGTGGAAAATGGCAGTTCAGTAACATCCCGGCAATGTTCCAGGGAGAAGAAAAGAACGATCCACCCCCTCCTGACCAACTCCTCCCTAGCCAAGAAAGCCTCCTCATGTGCTCTAAGGGGATGGCAGGCACAGTAATGCCTTCCCTCACAGCTCAGGCTCTTTGGTGCATGCTAGCCAGTAAATAATTGCTTTATGCTTTCTGTGCTACATGTATCTTGCTTGCAGAGCCTCTCTGTGCACACCTAAGGATGCCCAAGTAGCAATTCAGAGAATGAAAATCATAGTCTCTAAATAAAATACATTTAAGCAATTGATTTAAGGAAGATCATAGAATTAGATCCTTAGCTGTAAAGCACAAAGATATTTTACTTTGAATAGCAGGAATAAAGGAGGCTGAGTGTGACACCTTATTGTTCTCTACAACACCCTGACAGGACATTGTAGTAGGGTGGGGGTCGGCCTCTTCTCCCAGGTAACCAGTGACAAGAGAAAATGGACTCAAGTTGCACCAGGGGAGGTTTAGATTAGATCTGAGGAAATTTTTGTTCATGTAAAGGGTTGCAAAGCACTGGAACAGACTGCCAGGGAACTGGTGGATTCACCAACTCTGAAAGTGTTCAAGAAACATGTGGATGTGTCACAGGAGGACACAGTTTGATAGTGAATATGGTGGTGGTGCTGGGTTGACAATTAGACTTAATGATCTTTAGAAGGTCTTATCAAACCTTAACAATTCTGTAACACATTACACTTCCAGACAATAAGTACTGAAGGCTGGCACAAGGTCTGAAATGGTGCATTTAGGCAAAACACTGGGAGCCATCAGCCACTAAGCTAGGTTGGAAAAGAAAGACAGCAAAGAGACCCAGTACTGAAACCACCCCAAAAATTATTTTGTGGCCCTCTTTTCACATTGCTGGATACTGGCTCCATCATACATTTCCAAAGTTATACTGTCACTTGCATTCTGGAAAGTATTTGTGTGGGAATAGTGGGGGAGTGGGGTAGGAGGGGGAGCCCAGAACTCACTGTCTTTGTGAACTGCTGGTGATTTATCACTTACCTTTTCATAAACAGGGAAGTACCTGGTTGTAGCTCGTTCAATGATTAAGGCAAGATTCTTTTCTTTTGTATCAGCTGGTTGAAAGGGGAGATACATGATCATTGCCATTAGGTCTGTAGTTCCCTCCACGTACATATCAATCCTGAAACAAATATTTTTGTTCAACATATATAATTCAAACTTTCCATTTTAATTCTTTTCCTGAAACACAACCCTGAAGTGATCACTGAGTAAAATGTTTATTAGAGAATAATAAATATTTTACTCAGTGATTACTTCAGAGTAATCACTGAGTAATACACTGTAACGTAATACACTGGTTTCTTTTCTTGGTTCTTCCACTTTGAGAAAACTTCCAGTTTTTTTCAAAGCACAAATTGTAAAACAGGCTCACCGTATATGCAATAAGCAAAACCAAGGCTGCAAGTAATGTATTTAAAGTGGAATTCACGCTGTTTTCCATTAATAATCTACACATTTATGCTGTGGGAGAAAAGACTGCACATGCAAACCACTTTAGGGAAAAAAAATTAGTTTTGAGGTCTAATCATGAGAGGATTCTGGCTAACAATTGCCAGTCCATAACAATCTCCACAGTCTCTGGAGCCGCCCTTCCATTCTCACAAAATAAACTCTCTACAGTAAGTGACAGTCTGCTAGGTATACTCACCTTTACTGCAGATACTTCACAGCAACATTCTCTCTGTAAATATTAACAGGCATGGAGGAGTGTTAGTAAGTGGCACACTGTTACCATACCAGGCTCTCTCCTTCAGGTCCTTCCCATAGAGGTTGTACTTTGCTGCAATGTAGCTGAGGATGGCTCTGGTCTGCACCATCTTCATCCCATCAATCTCCACCATGGGCACCTGCTCAAACAGCAGCACTCCATCTAGGGAAGAAAAAGGATCAAGCTACTCAGGCTGCTGAAATACTACACTGAAAATAAGGAAGAGACCTGGTAAGACAACAAGACATTTCTAATTCTCAGGGATGAAAGCATCCACAAGGAAGAAGTTCTTCTTTACAGGTCAGATCATATTGCAGGTCTTAAAAAAATACCTCCTGTTGTTCTTTTGTTCTGTGTGTGAGAATTTCTGTTTAGGGTACGGTTTACAGACTCACCATTGCGCAATTTTTCTAAGTCTTCTTTTGTCTCTATGAATTCTTCCTCAAACTGAAAAGCAACAATAGAAAACAAGGCTGTCACTCCAAAGGCAGTGGAGAAGTGGAAGGAAGGCTGGCAGTTAGAGCTCACCTCTCCACACCATTCTCCACACTTCTCTCATTGTGTTGACCCTGTGAGGAATCCATTCAGTGCCAGGAGCTGGGGGAGCAGCTGCAGTCCCAGCTGCTCATGGAGCCCTGGGAGCCCAAGGCAAGAGCTGGGAACTGCCTCCCTTTGCACAGCACAGGGCATGGGGACGTGTGGCACTGGCCAGGTGAGCCACAGCAGGAGCCCATGACCCCAAAGCTTCACTTAGACTGTGAGGGTACAAAAGACCAGCAGTTTCCTTTGTTCCAGGTCCCTCCCTGGAGGCATAATGTTACTCTGTTGTTGCACCAAGACTGAATTACTTTAAGGACTGATGGACAGGCTCCTGGATGGTCAGACAGGAAAGTTTCCTTAACAGATCCCCTACTTCATCTCTGCTCCAGCAGAGACAATAACCCAAGACTTTGGTGTCCCCAGCCCCACAGGACTGTACAAAGCATTAAGCTCCAGAAAGAACTTCCTCGTTATAAAGACCACAGTCACCTGCATGAACCATAAACTGATACCAAATAATGCAATTAAAAAGCAGCTGATGCCACATGAAATATTGAGAAAATTCTTGTAAATTATGCCTCTCTTACACAGCATTTATCTCCATCTTTAATCCACTGGATTTTTTTTTTAATATGGACATTTGAATGAGGAGAAGATCTTGGTTTCCTCAGCACCTGTGCTCTGCAAATTCTCTGTCAGCAATATTCTCAAGTGAGCACCATTTAAAAAAGCCTTTTATTTCCAACAGAGTACAAATAGTTTCAAAAAAACATATTCAAACAAAAACTTAATGTAGAAATTAAGATGTCATAGGATGGCCTTCACCTTATGTGAATCTAGATAGATCCCCTAACGCTGCCTTTGGGGCAGATCTGCTGATTTATCCTACTCAGGTCCTGACCCAAAGAACAAAAGGTGCTTTCTTTGGAGAGAATGTTCATAAGTTTTCACATGGTATGCATGGTCTTTCAGTGGAGAAGACTCATGAGATACAGGGAAGTTATGAGCATTGATAAAAAGTCACTGTTTTGTCTGTAGCGACAATTTACAATCTCATCTTAAAGTATGTTTCAAAAATGACACCCATCAATTCTCTTTATATGTTAAAATATCTTCACTGTGTAACTATGGCTCAAGGAATACATGAAATAAAACACAAGAGTGTATCACTCAAACTAAGCATCATGACACAATTTGTCATGATGTGCATATCCCTAAGCACAGATGCAATTGGGAAACCCTTCCAGAGGATACCTATTTTAATCACAAGTCACTTTATAAAAAAAAGGTACAAACCTCAACCCCAGCTGCTGCTAACAGCCATCGGATTGACTCCATCTTCCCCCTTCCCTTGGTGTAGTGCAGCTTGGGTTTCCCAGCCATGATTTCAGAGTTCTTGTTTCCTGATAAAATCAAGATGATAATCTTATGGAAGCATGCTTTAAATTAGCATTTTGAATGTCTCACTCCAAACTATTAAATACAGTTGGATAAATGAGAAAGTAGAAGAACAATCAAGTCCTCCATGCTTGTGTTTGATGCAACCAAGTTTCCTGAGAATGAATGGAATAAAAGAAAAACTACACAGTACCAGAATGTGCAGCCATTCAGCCACATCAAGACAATAAGCATCTCCTAAATAATATATTATTGTAGTTTGAACAGCTTACTGAGTTTTACAACCAAAGCAGAACTGTAGGGTACTCCTGAACTAGCACATTTTTAACCTTGCAGTGATGCAATCTCTTCAGTAGGTGTTGGTTTTGTCACATGTCATACCATACTTGAAAAATGTACTGTATCAAATGAATGGCTTCCAAAGAACACCAAACTAGTGTCACCAGCACTGTTTTCACCTCTCTCATATGACAATTCAGAGCCCTGCGCTCCTGTGCCTTTACAAATATGCTTTTAAAAGCAACATATATCACCAGGGCTTCTACATTCCTTATCCAGCTGCTACAGTCAAACTGTAACAGAGATTTATATTCTATCTGCCCTGAAAATTTAACTTTAAAATCAAAAACCAAATGGAAGGAACTGACCTCTGTTGGGCAGATAAGGCCTGGGCAATGCCCCTGGCACAAGAGGGCTCAAGTCAGCCCATCAGATGATGGTGCTGAGATGAAACACTTGGTCCTTTCAAATTTCCCTGCCATGTGCAGTCACATGCCACTGTATGACATGGGCAGCTGATGTGAGCTTGCCTGGTGCTGGAAACAAAGCTAACACTGTACTCTTATCCCTAATGGGTCACAGAAGAATGAACCAAATTTCATAAGACAGAGGCACAGACTGACAGAATGCTTCATTGTTAAGCCAAAGGTTTATCAGTTCACAGGCAGGCTTTTATTTATGCTCGCATTGACTTCACAATACATAGCTGGGCCACAAAGTAAAAACTTTGGCCATAATCCCAAGGCATCAATAAAGAGGCACAGACAGCACAACAGTGTCAGGGGAGCCTGCACCCCTGGGCCACTCCACTGAAGTCCTTTGTGATGGGTGCTGTCTTCCACAGGCTCTACAGCACACAGCCATCACTCTGCCAGCAATGACTCACAGGAGAAAGAGGCGCCCCCATCCAAAATGCAGCTCTTCAAAACCACTGCTCAGCTTCCACCTAGCCCTGTGTCATAGTTTAGCAAGAGAAGAATTTTTTTAAATAATACAAAGCTTCCAATCACTAAAAACCTAGACAAGACAAAAACCCTGAGAACTTCTTTTCTCTTTCACAAGTTACCAACAAATCAAGTAACCATTTACAAGACCGAAGCAACATGTTAACCCTTTCAATCCTCCCTCAAATAAGAAAAAAACCCTCAAAATACAAACATACAAAAAAACCCCATAAAAACATCAAAGTCAGTAAAAAAATCAAATCCAGAGAAAAAACATAAAGAAATACCTTAATTTTAAAACTAAAATCCTCTTATAAACTATAGAGAAAAAACTCTTTTTCCTTATAACACCTAAAACTATAAAAAAATTTAAAAATCAAATTAATATAAAACAAAACCCTCCATATTAAAATAAACAAATATTAAAATAACAGTAATCCCATAAAAAGTTTTTTAAAAAGTAATCCTCTACCCCCAAGAAAAAAAGAAAAAAATCTGTTATTTTAAAAATAAAAATAATTTTTAAAATAAATAAAAACTTTTACCTTTTAGCAACTCATCTTTAAAACAATACCCCATAAATCAACATAACCCATAAACAAACTGTAAGAAAGCTTATAAAAAATAAGAACTTCACAATTACAAATTTCCCTGAACAACTACTGTTCGTTAACAAAACACAAGAAAACGGGTTTTTTCTTGCAGAAAAGTCTCCATAACATTAACAAAAAAGACTTCTCTCCCTAAGTAAACTAAAAAAAAAAATTAAAATATTAAGCTATTTTTTTATTTTGTTTCTTGACATTATCAGTAAGAAAAAATATTTTAAAATATATGTTCTAAAAATGTTGTTCTAATTCTTATTACTCTTTCTTTTAGTTACTGTTAATGATCTTTTCTTTGTACTCTTTTAAAATTTTGAACCTACTTTACCTTTCTCCTAATCCCACCTCACAACAACAAAAAAAATCCATTAATAATTAACCAACACCAAACCCACCACACTCTTTAAAACATTAACCAAAAGAATCTCAAAGTCAATAAAATCTCAAATTAACAAACCAAAACCACGACACAAAATTAGGATTTCTACCCAGTTTCAAACTAAAACCACCACACCCTGGCAGTGTCTGTGTCCCTGGACAGCTCAGTCCCTGTTCCCCTGACACAAAGGTTGTGCTTGTCAGTGGATTGTGTCTCGAGTGCAGCTGGCATCTGCTCCAGCACTGCCGGACGCCTGGCTGACACCTGAACAAGGCACTCAAAAAGGGACTTGGCACAGCTCCCTACCAGGCCCTACACACACAGGACCATGATCTAAACCTCCTTTCTATTTCCCATGAATGACTTACACTGTAACAAGTAAGAGAGCTCCTGATCGTCTATACTTCAGAAATACTTCATTCCCCGATGCTCGGAAAGTAGGTGTTGGTCTCAGCTTCACCAGAGGGGAGAACTGCACTTAAACCCTCACAGAATGGACAAGCACTCCAACCTCCAGCAGTGGGAGGTCCAGTGGGACCAAGCCTGAGAAACACACTGTAAGGACAGGCTAGCATAGGCAGAAACAGCAAACATCCTTGACCTCTCCACAAAGCAGAACTGGAGCTGATAAAATTCAGCCCACGCAGAGCCCTGATTGCCAGAGCCCCGATTGCCAGTCTCAACTCAGTGCTCCACTGAAAACCGGGACCTATCCCCTGAAAAGCCAGCAATATCCTCCTGCAAACGCACTGCTAAAGGTCCGAATTGGGCGTTCAGGCTGAACACTTACATAAGGCTGCAAGCTATTCTGGTGACCCTTTTATGGCTCTGCAATGAATATCCCTTTGTAAAATACTGAGCAGTGATAAAAGAGTCGCAAAATTGGTAAACTGTCTTTCTTGAATAGCAAGAATGGACCTGAAAATTAATCACAAACTTTCTTGATGTTTTAGCACATCAGACTTTCCTTGGACCACAGCCACGCAGGTGTCAGAGAGGCAGCTACTGCTGTGATCGCTGTATTAAAAACACCCCACATTGTTTTGTCCAAAACAATTCAGGCACCAGCCTTTCAGTGAGGAACAAGTAAATGAATTTAGCAGCAAGCTCATAATCTGAACAAAGATCTTAAACTTTCTTCCTAGCCGGATATGGGCCCCGGAGCAGTTCTCTGCAGCGCTTTGTTGCTCGACCCCGTCCCGCAGGGGCAGCTCCACACAGCGCAGCGCTGCATCGCTCCGGACCACCTTAACCCTGCGGCTGCTCCCCAGCGGCGGCTTCCGCTGCGGGCCGGGCCAAGTCCGGCTTCGAAAAGCTTCCTTCTACCGCCGGAGCCAGGAGGAGCGTCCGGACGAGGGGAAAGGCAGAGTACTCCCAGAGATTGCAAAACTTGCACTCCAAAGAGCAGTTTCTCTTCAGCTTCCCCGCTGATCGTACCCAGAGCCACACACAAATAAACCCCCTCTGTGCCCACCCTCCCGACCGTCCCGATCCCTGCTGCAGGAGACAAGCTGGGGAATAACCCCTGGACAAACTCCCTGGAGCAGCACAGCAGGACGGGCCAGCCGGTGTGTCACGCACCTCGCCCTTTGCCCTCCGGGCAGGAGCGCTGACCCGGCCGGCACCGGGCAGGAGCGCTGACCCCGCCAGAACCGGGCAGGAGCGCTGACCCGGCCGGCACCGGGCAGGAGCGCTGACCCCGCCAGAACCGGGCAGGAGCGCTGACCCGGCCGGCACCGGGCAGGAGCGCTGACCCGGCCGGCACCGGGCAGGAGCGCTGACCCCGCCAGAACCGGGCAGGAGCGCTGACCCGGCCGGCACCGGGCAGGAGCGCTGACCCGGCCGGCACCGGGCAGGAGCGCTGACCCCGCCAGAACCGGGCAGGAGCGCTGACCCGGCCAGCACCACTCGCTCCACCGGGCTGGCGCCGCCCGCCCCCCGCCCGCCGCCGCAGTACCGTGTGCCCGAGCCGCTCCGCCGCCACAGCACCGACACGGCACCGAAACAAACAGCGCCCGGTCCCCACACACGATCCTTCCGCCCCGTCAGGCGGCCGCTCCTCCCCTCGGCTGCCGCCGTGCCCACCGCCCGCCCCGCCGGGCGCATCATCGTCCCCCAGCGCTGCAGCTCAGGGAAAAGCCCGCCCAGCCTTGTCCCTGCAGTCTTGCCGAGTTTCTGTTGCAAAATGTGGAATGTGTAAACATTTTCTTGACGAGGGATGTGCTTTGATGTTTGATCTTTGTATACTTGCAAGCCTAATCAACAAGAAAGAAGTTCTAATCTGTGAAACAGAGAGCAGTTACCTAACAAGGTCTAAGTGAAGTCCAGCTGTGGGAAAGAGAAATTACTTGTCATGAGAATCGCCTTGTTAAGAGTTGAACATGTTTTAATGATCTCAAACCTAGGGGGAGTTTAACAAGGCTTGGAAAGAACAATGTACCTCTGATAGTGGATACATAAAATACAGAATTTATGGGGCACAAGGGCATTTGGCAGAACTTCCAAGATAGGGAAGAAACGAAAAAAGCCCACTCAGCAACTGTGCTGAGATCAGCTCTGAACGGCTATAAGACAATTCTGGCAGGGAGAGATTCCCACACTACTGACTCACAGCCCACCAAATCAAGAAACCCAACTCAAAAGAAGACAGAAGACACAGTGAGCATGTAGACTAATTAGCATGAGAAGAGGGAGAATCATTAACCAATAGAAGAGAGAACATTGATTATTAAGAGAACCAGACAACTTGTAGTCAATTAACATTAATGCCTTTGCTTGCTAAAATGAATAAATAGTAAAAACTTCTTATTGATTTTTGGAATACCACCAAGCAACCAGGCTTGCACAACTCTGAAATTAATAATCAATGTCTCATTTAAGTGTGTGTGTAATTATTGGTTTGTTGCACACTTGTTATGGTTTGACACTGGCACAATGCCAGTGCCCCCATGAAAATTCCCCCCTCCCTGGCATCTGCTGTGAGATGGTAACAAACCTAGATTTTCTGGACAACATTTCCACTGGGCTGGCTCCGAGGCAGCTGCACATCAGGGACATGGCTGGGACACCGTGAGCAGGGGACAGGCTCGGAGGCCCCTGAGGCAGCAGCGATTGTGTGAATTGTGGGGGGCTGGGGCTGCAGGCCTTGTGCAAGGCGTTCAAGCACTCCTTGTGCCAGGGGCTCAGGCTCTGAGTGGCCAAAAACTGGGATATCTGTGAGGGATCCTGACAGTACATGGCCATGCCAGGAGCTCATCCTCAGAGAAGGCCTCATGGCGTGGAGTCAGTACCCACAGCCCAAGGTTCTGGTGGCACTCAGCAGCTGCCAGTGTTGTCTAAATGCTTCAGCGAGGCAGGAGGGAAACAGCTCCTGCAACAACCCTCTGTAATACATGCTTTCCTACTGAAAAATATTAGTTTATTTCTCTTTTTGATGACAAAAACTGGTTCCAGCAGCATGACATTTCCTATGATGAAATTGTTGGCTTTACCAAGACCTACATAGCCCTGAGATTGCCCAGCTGAAAACTGACAGTGCTCCAGTTGTAGCTGGATTTAGGGCACTGACTCTTTCATTTACAAACTTGGTTTATTTGGGGTTTAAGTAGTATCACAGAATCTTAGAATGGTTTGGGGTAGAAGGGACCTTAAAGATCATCTAGTTCCAACCCTCCTGCCTTGGACAGGAATACGTTTCACTACATAACTGCATATATTTATCAAAGCTCAACAGTCTTGTTAACCTCAATACTGGAGTTTGATTTAGTGATTAAAATGAACAACTCCAGTACAACGTGTATTAAACTTGGTTTAATATACAGTGACATAAGTCAATATGGATTCCTGCATTCCAGGATCTCACTAAGACCTGACACCATCCTGAATCCTTCCGTGACAAGTTTTAAACTGGTGACCAGCATTTGTTTCTCAGAGTCTCCAAAGTTGCTGCAATAGATCTCCTGATAAAGGAAATATGGGTGAAGCTGCATTACAAGACTTCAAGTGTCTAGTGCCAAAGCAGAGACACAGTAGGAGCTCTGGTCCAAGGATATTCAAAGTTCAGCTCAGAGGAAAGCAGAATCCAAACTTTCAGCCTCAGCTAGCCAGAACATGCAGGCTTTTCCTGGCATTTCCCAGAAAAAAAACCAACATGACATACTGTTTGGGATAATCTCTCCTAATTTTCAAACAATTCTTGGGAATGCCAGATAAACACAACCAGACAGATCTTAGGAATAGAAGTAGCAGCAAGAAATCAATGAACAGCCAGGTTTTGAGTATCAATAGTAAGAATTTATTTCAGGTATTCTCTTTAGTTATTTAAAGCATTCTGTGTTGTCCAATATACCCCCTATTTAGTGAAATATTGCCTTTCCTGGTAGGATCAAAACATGGTTTTCAGTGTTTTCATTATTTCCCCAATGTCAGCAAGCACAATGGAAATAGTTTCTGCAGCTTTAGACTCAGCAGAAAATTTTCATTACTTTTGGTACCTCTTCGTCAGTTATTAGCGGTTTCCTCTGGCTGCCAGGCTGCAGGAATTTCTTTATTGTGGGGATATTGCTTATTCTTGCTTTGAAACTCTACAAAACAAAATCAAAACAGCACAGTGCTTAAGAATCATTGCAGCTGTCAGACATTTCAATGATATCTGTGCCCTGAAAGACACATTACAGCTTGGTGCTGCAGAAGAAACTATATGCTTCCCCCTTTTTTGTTTTCGGGATTATAAAAAGATACCACAAATATAAAAACGAGTAGCCAAGGCCAGCTACAGTACTTGGGATATTTTTTCCATATTTCAAGTCACTTCTGACCCTCTCACTCCCACATATTTCTCAGCCACTTTAAATCAGCAGTCCTTTCCTTTCATTCTATATTCAAATTGCCCAATCATTTACCTGCAAGAGAGGAAATTTGGCAAGTATGTCAGGTTTGTACTCCTCTGCCATCAAAATGACTTCAAGTAATTGAACATCTGCCCTGCTCAGCTGGTTGCCAACCAGAAAGCCTTTTCCATGGTTTTTCAAAACCTAAAAACAGAGAACAGAAGCAGATCATGTCTCTTCTCTGTTAATAAAGTATAAAATAACATATAAATATATAAAATATAATTTTTCTGTTCTTCTCTCATAAAAAATATATTTTCAAAGCAAGGTCACACATTGCACAGAGTTGTCACTGAAAGAAGGAAATGCAGGTCAAACACCTGCAGCACAAACAATGATCTGAAGGCACTGCCACCCTAGGCATCATCAATCAGCTCTTTCACTTCTACATTCCTGTCTGGCAGCTCAGTTGGACTCATCTGGCCTTGCCTGCTGTAGCTGCACTGAAGGCTCAGCTGTATGAGATACAGGAGGAACTGCAATGCTTTTACACAGCATGTATGGTACAGGGCCATTTGCCCTTCAGGAGGAGACTTGATGTCAAAGCTGGTGCTGTAGAGTCTTTTGTCTGAAACAACACACACACTGAAACATGGACATTTGGGGAGCTCTGTGAGTGCTGGTTTTTGCAGCTGTACATCTCTCCCAGATGTGAAGTGCCTTCTGTCCCCTCTGTAGTGTCCTGTCTCCACCTTAATCCCAGCACCACTAAAACCAGAGCATTGGTT